ATATCTAAAGATTAACCTAAAGAAAGCTTAAACTAAAGAAAAATAAGCTAGATAAATATTGTTGTAAAACTGAGTAGACTATAGGAATTATAAATTTTGAGTATCAAATATAATTTATTAACCAAACATTTTGTTACTCTTCTAAATTTTCTAGAAGCTTGGTGTTGAACAATTAGCAAAGACATAAGTACTTAGGTGTAAATTTCTAAGGCAGCTTTTGTTAATCTGAGTAAACATTTATGCCCTTGAAATTTCATAATTATATACAGTTTATTCTAAACCAGAGTTGAATCACATATATAGTATGTTGTGACAAATATAACCTTAAATTTTTATCATTATACAAAGGTCCATACAATCTAAAATATTTGAGACTTGTTGCTTCCTTAGTCTAAAAGCAGATACAATGAGATCTCATTAGGACTGAGAAGTTTTATAATTGTTCCTTTATACCATGTGGTGTACAGGAGGTTATTCCAATTTTTGTATCTGTTGAGATTTGCTTTGTGACCAATTATTGGTCGATTTTAGAGAAGGTTTCATGGGGTGCTAAGAAGGTATATTCTTTTGTGTTACAGTGGAATGTTCTGTAAATATTAAGTCCATTTGAGTCATAACATGTGTTAGAACCTTTATTTCTCCATTAAGTTTCTGTCTGGCAGGCCTGTTCAGTGCTGATAGAAAGGGTATTGAAGTCTCCCAGTATTAATGTGTGGGGTCTGATGTGTGATTTAAGCTTTAGTAATGTTTCTTTTACATATGTGGGTACCCTTGTGTTTGGGACATAGATGTTCAGAATTGAAACTTCATCTTCATGGCTTTCTCCTGTGATGAATATGAAATGCCCTTCTCCATCTCTTTCAATTGATTTTAGTTTGAAGTCTATTTTGTTAGATATTAGGATAGCTACACCAGATTGTTTCTAAGGTCCATTTGTTTGGAAAATCGTTTCCCAGCCCTTTAGTCTGACGTAATGTCTGTCTTTGAGGTTGAGGTGTGTTTCTTGTATGCAGCAGAAGGATGGATCCTGTTTTTGTATCCATTCTGTTAGCCTGTATCTTTTTATAGGTGAATTGGGTCCATTGATATTAAGGGATATTGATGACCAGGGATGGATTATTCCTGTTACTTCTTGGTGGCAGTGTGTGTGTGTGTGTGTGTGTGTGTGTGTGTGTGTGTGTGTGTGTGTGTGTGTGTTTCCCTTCTTTGGGATTTGCAGGTGTGTGGTTATCTATTGCCTATGTTTTGGTGGTTACAGCTAACTTCCTTAGGTTGGAGTTTTCCTTCTAATACTTTCTGTAGGGCTGGATTTGTGGATATGAAATGTTTAAATCTGGTTTTGTCATGGAGTATCTTCTTTTCTGAATCTGTGGTGATTGAACACTTTCCTGGGTAGACTCGTCTGGGCTGGCATCTGTGGTCTCTTAGTATCTGCAGAAAGTCTGTCCAGGACTTTCTGACTTTCAGAGTCTCCATTGAGAAGTTGGGTGTAATTCTGATAGGTCTGCCTTTATATGTTACTTGGCCTTTTTACTTTGCTGCTCTTAATATTCTGTCTTTATTCTCTGTGTTTAGTGTTTTGACTATTATGTGGCAAGGGGACTTCTTTTGTGGCTCAGTCCATTTGGTGTTCTAATGCTTTTTTGTTTTGTTTTGTTTTTTGTTTGTTTGTTTTTTTGTAAACAGGGTTTCTCTGTGTAGCTTTGCACTTTTCCTGGAACTCACTCTGTAGCACAGACTGGCCTCGAACTCACAGAAATCCGCCTGACTCTACCTCCCTACTGTTGGGATTAAAGGTGTGCACCACCAACGCCGGGCGTCTATATGCTTCTTGTACCTCCATAGGCATGTGTTTCTTTAGATTGGGAAAGTTTTCTTCCATGATTTTGTTGAATATATTTTCTGTGCCTTTGAGCTGGAATTCTTCTCCTTCTATCCCTATTATTCTTAGGTTTGGTCATTTCATGGTGTCCCAGATTTCCTGGATGTTTTGTGTTAAAAAATTTGCTGGATTTAACATTTTCTTTGACTGATGAATTTATTTCCTCTATTGTAATGCCTGAGATTCTCTCTTCATTTTCTTATATTCTGTTGGTTAAGCTTGCCTCTGTCGTTTCTGTTTGTTTACTCAGATTTCCTTTTCCTGAATTCCCTCAGTTTGTGTTTTCTTTATTACCTCTATTTCAGTTTTCAATTCTTGAACTGTTTCCCTCACCTGTTTGTTATTCTTGGGTTTCTTGACTTTCTTCAAGAGATTTCTTGATTTCTTCTAATTTTTTGTTTGTCTTTTCCTCCATTTCTTTAAGGGAATTTTTCATTTCCTCTTTTAGGTACTCTATCATCTTCATAAGGTTGTTTTTAAGGTCATTTTCTTCTGAGTCATCTGCTTTCAGATGTTCAGGTCTCGCTGTTGTGGGATCACTAGGTTCTGGTGGTGCCATATTGCTCTTTATGTTACTTAATGCGTCCCTATACCGCCTTCTACCCATTTCTTCCTTTAATCTGTACAGGTGGAGCTCCCGGTGGCACTTCTTCCAGTTGGTTTCAGGTGGGGCCTGTGGCTCCTGTGGTTTCTCTTCTTCCCATCTGGTGCAGGAGGGGCATATGGCTCTGGTGGTCTCTGATGCTGTAGGGGATGGTTGGTGAGGAGGGGGCAAGGAGGCTGCTGCCTGGTCTCTGGGGCTGCACTGCCTGGGGACCTAGGGACTAGAGGACTGGGCTGACCAGTCTGGAGATCGAGGCCTTACCTGCTCCCTACCGGTGAAGGGAGCCTATGGATCTGGTGGTCTCCAGTGCCACAGGGGATAGTTGGCTTGAAGAGTGGTTGGGCGTGGGAGGAGGCTGCTGCCCAGTCTCTGGACCTGCGCTGACTCTTCCCAATCAGTGCAGGGCGGAGTATGTCTCCGGTGGTCTCTGGTGCTGCAGGAGGATGGTTGGCTTGGTGAGGGGGTGAGGGTGGGAGGAGGCTGCAATCCAATCTCTGTAGCTGCACTGGCTGTGTGCAGGGCACCGAATGTGTCCCCAGGACCTAGGGGCTAGAGAACTGGACTGACTAGATCTGGGCTTTACCTGTTTTGGGCGGGAGGTGGGGGTATGCCACTCCTGTAGTCTCTGGTACCACCAGGGATGGTTCAGGAATGCTCATTCTTATGAATAATTTTGATATTGGTTATTTTCCTGTGTCCATGTGACTGTTACTATATCTACTTTTGTGGAAAATGTCAGCATTTGCCTCATGGCCTTTGCATCAGTTCTACTGGTTGTTGTTAGTAATGTAACCATGTGCAGACTTTTTTTTTTGTCAATGTGACACAAGCTAGAGTTATCAGAGAGTTGGGAACTTCAATTGAGAAAATGCCTCCTTGAGATCTGGCTATAGTTTATTTTCTTTATTAGTGACTGATTAAGGAGGGCTCAGCCCATTGTGGATGGAGCCATCTCTGGGCTGGTGGTCTTGGATTCTATAATAAAGCAGGCTATGCCAGCCATGGGGATCAAGCCAGTAACCAGCGCCTCACCATGGCTCCTGTATCATCTCCTGCCTCCCAGTTCCTGCCCTGTTTGAGTTCCTGTTCTGAGTTCCTTGAATGATGAACATCAATGTGGAAGTGCAAGCCAAATAAATTTGTTCCTCCCCAACTTACTTTTTTTTTTTTTTCTTTCAAGACAGGGTTTCTCTGTGTAGCTTTGCGCCTTTCCTAGAACTCACTTTGGAGACCAGGCTGGCCTCGAACTCATAGAGATCTGCCTGCCTCTGCCTCCCGAGTGCTGGGATTAAAGGCGTGCGCCACCACCGCCCGGCTTCTTACTTTTTGGTCATGGTATTTCATTGCAGCAGTAGAAACTCTAATACAAACCATGTATATCCTTTTTGTTCGTCAGTTCGTATGCTTAGGAATCCATTTCTTTGTGCCTTTATTTTTTTTCCCTGAATGTCTTAAATATTTACTGATAGAAGTAAATTCATTATTACTTTGGGTGATTCCTAGATCTTTTGGAAACAACCTGAGTGGCTTAGGATTTCTAAATTACTTTTCAAATTGTCATTACTAATAAATAAGAAAATAGGTGATTTTGTGTGTTAGTTTTGTACTTTTCATTAATATGTTAAGTACCTACCAAATCTAAGATTTTCTCATAGTTACTGTCAAATTTGTGTGTGATCACATCATCATTAAAGTGGAATTTGGTGCTTTACCTTCTCCTGAATTCTTTGTATTCAAATTTTTCTGGCTTACTATTATGCCTTGGCATTTAATAAGACAGTACATGCATCTTACTCTTCTTGCAGTTTTCTTACCAATGCTGTTCATTTTTCCTCTGTACTGTAGTGTTGGCAACAGGACACACCTGCCATGTACTGTGTTCAGCTGTGTTCTCTTTCTATTTCCTCTGAGTTTATCACAAAATCTGTTGCTTATGTCTTATGACATTTTCATGTCTAGTGGAATTTTCATACCACAGGGCTTTTATTCATTACCTTTTAAAAATATTCTTTTGGTATAATTACTCTTATTAATTTACTTCCTTCTAGTTAGAAATGGTAGTTTGTTATTTTGTTGTTGTTGTTGTTGTGAGACATAGTCTGCTGTTATCCAACTCCTGTTCATCCAATCCTCATGTAAAATGCATTATTTCCTGTGCTCTCGTGGATCATTTCTCTCTGATTGTTCTGTGTGTACTTTGCCTGTAATTTTGATCTGAGGTGCTGCTTGAGTGGATGACCTTCGTTATTTCATGAACTTCTCTAAACACCATTCCTCTTCCATGAATTTTAAGAGTTTCTGGGTGCTATTGTAAAATTCATAGTCCTTTTCTTTCCCCATTCTAAACATCCTCCCATGATCTCCTGTCTGTAGGAATGTTTACATGTTTTCTAGAATCATTTTGGGCTTGGGGTCTTTTTATGTGGTTTGGTGTTATCCATTACAGAATTGTATTAATTTTAGATTTGTATTTTTGACATCTTGATCTGACACCAGTCTTTTTTCTTGAGACAGAAAACTCAGAGAAAAGCAATAAGAAGAATGAATTCTCTGATAAATGCTCCCCAGGTCAGTAGTATCATGTCTACTTTTCTTTGAGAATTGATTTTATTGTTAAAAGTATTCAAGACTTCAATTCTCTATATATGGTAATGTTATTAAAGTTATTTTCTATGATTTATGTGCTGTTTTCCCTTGGATTATCAAAATTAAGTGATTAGATTTACCCCCTTATACTTCCACTTGATTTTACACTGTGAAGATAAAAAATTCAATGACTTAAGCCCTGCAATTCTGAAAGAGGATCTATTGTAAATGCTGCTCATAGAAATATATTGATGACCAGTTTCTACATAGGATGGACATGTGTCCTTTGATATTTATGAGGAAAGAAAGTTTTATGTGCCATATAAATTGCATTTTTGGAATGGTCAGGTTTCCAGAATCAGACTTATGAATATGGACATGCAAATACATGGATAGTTTTCCAAGACATCCCTGAGAAAGGTATGGAAAAGTCAAATTAGAAGAGATCACTGTCTGAAATCCTAATATTAAATATTTCCTGTGCATCATAGAGACACAGATGATGGAAGTAGCATGTCCCTTGTTCTTGCCATAAAATTGATGTCTGTGAGCAAATTCACATTGTAATATACTGGTTTCTCTCTTTGACATTTGATACACAGAGATGATAGGTGTGTTGACACTTGAAATCTTAGTCTCGGGAATGGTTCTGTTTAATGCTCAGTGGGAAGTTCTCAGTAGACAGATTTTTATTTTCTCTTTCTTTTTGTTTTATTTTTCAGAAGAGGCTGTTTCCACATTTGTACTACATAAAGTGGAATATATTAGTAAGAATTTTCTAGAGAATATTGACTTGGTACTGCACATAGCCACCAATTTTCAAGCATGAATGACTATCCCTTTTAATTTACTCTCTTCTTTTCTTTTGGAGGAACAAGGCTCCCTCTACCCCATGTCTTCCCCTCCCCGAAGCAATGTATTACATAGGGAGGAATTCTAAAGAAGTTTTTATTTCTTACTTTATAATAATATTTTATTTAAGTATATGAGTGTTCATCTGCATTTTTAATATACAAAGGATGGTTCATTATGCGCCCATATCACTTAGGTGAGACCCAAACACTTGGCACTGAAGTCAGTCAATGTCGTGAACTGCCATGTTGTAGAGAGAGTTGAATTAAGATTCTCTGCAGGAGCAGCAAGTTCCTTTAACCTCTGAGCCATGTCTTTTACCCCAAGATTTACTCTTCTGGTGCACATTTGTGCCAGAGATAGTATATAACCTTGAGTTGTCTAGTTTTTGAATAGTGAAAAAATTATAAATAATACTTAATTTGTTCAACCTAAAATCCTGGAAGGTGAGTGAGCTTAAATACTGAAATAAAGAATAGAGTTGTGATTAGAAGTTCAAATTTTCAATTAAGTCAATGTTATGAGTAATAATGTATTCAAAACTAATGAGGAGTTAGTACAATCCCCATTCAATCTATGTTTTGATCACAGAAAATTTTTCTACTACATTTGAATGCATTGTCATATTCCATTTATTTACATGTAGCATGAATCTTAGAGAGTCTTATTAATAAAAACAAATCTGAAGCCAGGTATTGGGTGAAGCTGAAAGATCAGAGAAGCAGAACAAGCCTCAGCTACCTCGCCTTGACAATTCCTCAGCTGATCTTCTTTTCTTAAACTGGAAGCCTCTGTGTCCTATCTGAATGAGTCTCAGCTGAACTGCTCAAAAGCCTAAAAGCTTAACCAGCTCTAGTTTCTAATTTTCTCGCCTTATATACCTTTCTGCTTTCTGCTATCACTTCCTAGGATTAAAGGCGTGAGTCACCATGCTTGGCTGTTTTCAATGTGGCTTTGAACTCACAGAGATCCAGGCGGATCTCTGCCTCTGGAATGCTAGGATTAAAGGCATGTGCTACCACTGCCTAACCTCTATGTTTAATATTGTGGCTATTCTATTCTCTGAACCCAGATAAGTTTATTAGTGTGCACAATATTTTGGGGAACACAGTATCACCACATTAGCTAAACAAAGAAGATCAGATATGGGGTTCTTATTTTAAAAAAACAAAAAGAAGATATAGAAAAGAGTACATCATTGAAGCTGCTCTGTAAAAAGGGAAGATACAAAAATAAGATAAAAGGTAGATTTTTGGATCTACTAAAAAAAAGAGAGACTATGGATATGATAAGATAAAAAGGGAGATTATTGAATCTACTTTTTAAAAGGAACTATTTGTTTTAAATAGGATAAGTAATGAAAATTTTTTGTCTGAATCTGTCAAATGTTAATGGACTAAACATTGTTAATGTAATTCTTGACTATATATATTGTATATACTATTTTGATACAGTTTTTCTATTATTAGTTATAAGCTTTTTTTAATTTTAGACAAAAAAAGAGAAATGTGATATTGTGTTCCCCAAAATATTGTATATTCTAATAAACTTATCTGGGTGAAAATATATCATAGTGACATGAGCATGCTAGCAAATGAAAGACATTTTAAAGGACATTACAGAATCAAAACTGAAGCGATAAGGTAAGTCCTTTGTCTGTTACTCAGGTCTTAGAATACATCACAAAATTCATGAAGGAGAGAGACCATATGTAAACATTGTCATTCTATACGCTATACATTGTCTATGGAAGAACAGCAATGCTCAACTTCTGACATATCCCTACAACTCTTATAGAAAACTCTTGTCCTTGAATAATTGCCATATCCCATCTGTATCACAAATATGTCTGCTATTCTTTAAGGTTTTTTTGCCTAGGAATGCATTTTGTTCAGCAGCACATTGTACATAGGTAATTTTGTATTACAGGGTCTGTTATCATTCAGGAATGTGGATGTGGACTTCTCAAAGGAGGAATGGGAATATCTAGACTGTGCTCAGAGGGCATTGTACATGGATGTGATGTTAGAGAATTACAACAATCTAGTCTTTGTGGGTAAGAATGCTCTTGTAGAATTCGTGACTCATCCTTTTTGTTTACCTATTGTGTATATGTAAACTGCCTGAATTATCTAGAGACTCCTAAAGATGTGGGAAATACTTGTTACCAATATAACATTTTCATGGTTCTTCCTTTATGATTTTCTATGTTCTGTACAGTGCTATATTCAGTTTAATATTCTGTGTGATGTATCCAGCTCTCTTATCTAGTTTTTAATGAAAATTTCAAAGTTCAAAGAGAATAGAATATTCAGAGCAAGGAAGTATACTACAGTACACATAATAGTAGGAATATTTTAATTTTACTATTGCATTAAACTATTTACCTATTTCTGATGATTAAAATGCAGATGGTTTTTAATAGAGAAAAGGCTGTTGTTTTTGTTTAATCATTTTCTTTTTCACATATGTTCTCTATGTTTAGTACTGGCCCAGCATGATTTGAATCCTAGCACTTTGGATACTGATGCAAGAGTATATGGTGAGTTCCATGCCAACCTGGGGTATATAATGGGTTCCCAACTGACCAAAGCTGCACAGTGTGACTCTGTATCAAAAACATAAACAAGAAAATAGAAAAAGATCTTCAAATGATCCTTTGGAGACCTTATTTCTCAGAGTTCTTTACTGCTCATTCACCTATTTGACCTACCTTCTGCAAGGTATGGTGTTTATATAAGTATGAGAAGGCTATTGTTGGTCACTGTGCTTTGATATAGATCAGGCATTTAATGATTTTGAAATAATAAAGACCATTGCAGAGATCTCTCTCTCCTTGAGAATTGCTTGTATACATGTCTAAGAAAACATCAGTTATTGAATTGCTTATGCATGAATCCCTATGATCCATAATTGCACTAATTTTCCAGAGTACCATCGTATATGTGATAAATATGGGAAGGTCTTGGATCAAAGCACAAAACATATTGTCCATGAGCATGTGAATATCCAAGAGAAGGCTTATAAATGTAATGATCTGGACAAAATGGTTCATGAACTCTCCCTGTGTGCACCACATGACACAAGTGATACTACAGAAAATTGCAACAAGTACAGATTCGCTACCCACAGTCACGCCTCTGTTGAATCATCAAACATAAACAGACATAAAAGTGGGAAGACTGGAGAAGAACACTGCAAATATAAAGACTGTATAACCTGTTTAAATTTCTGTTCCATGGTTATTCAAAATCAAAGAATCCATACCAAAAATAAAGAACACAAAAGTACAAAGTATGATGAAGTATTTGACGCTAAACACATGCTGAAACAAACAGGAGAGAAACCTTACAAATGTAGTGAATGTGACAAATGCTTTATCGATGGTACACATCTTAGAAGACATCAGGTAGTTCATACAAGAGTTAAGCCTTACACATGTAGTGAATGTAACAAATCCTTTACCCAAAAATACAGTCTTAGAACTCATCAGAGAATACATACAGGAGAGAAACCTTACAAATGTAGTGAATGTGAGAAATCTTTTTTCATGAAAGACCATCTTAGAACTCATCAGAGAATCCATACAGGAGAGAAACCTTACAAGTGTAGTGAATGTGACAAATCCTTTACCCAGAAATCCAGTCTTAGAACTCATCAGAGAATTCATTCAGGAGAGAAGCCTTACAAATGTACTGAATGTGACAAATCCTTTAGCCTGAAACGCAATCTTACATTTCATCAGAAAATACATACAGGGGAGAAACCTTACAAATGTTCTGAATGTGACAAGTCCTTTACCATGAAAGAGTTTCTTAGAATTCATGAGAGAATTCATACAGGAGAGAAACCTTACAGGTGTAGTGAATGTGCCAAATCCTTTACCCAGAAATCCGGTCTTAGAATTCATCAGAGAATTCATTCAGGAGAGAAGCCTTACAAATGTACTGAATGTGACAAATCCTTTACCCTGAAAAACAGTCTTAGAACTCATCAGAAAATACATACAGGGGAGAAACCTTACAAATGTTCTGAATGTGACAAATCCTTTAGGAGGGCCTCATCTCTTAGAATACATCAGAGAATTCATTCAGGAGAAAAGCCTTTCAAATGTAGTGACTGTTTCAAATCCTTTGCCGAGAAACGCTGTCTTACAACTCATCAGAGAATACATACAGGAGAGAAACCTTACAAATGTAGTGAATGTGACAAATTCTTTTCTAAGAATTTCAGTCTTAAAACTCATCAGAGAATTCATACAGGAGAGGAAGCTTACACGTGTAGTCAATGTGACAGATCTTTTACTGAGAGAAGCAGTCTTAGAATTCATCAGAGAATCCACACAGGAGAGAAACCTTACAAGTGTACTGAATGTGACAAATCCTTTACCCATAAATTCAGTCTTAGAACTCATCAGAGAATTCATTCAGGAGAGAAGCCTTACATATGTACTGAATGTGACAAATCCTTTACCCTTAAAGGCAGTCTTAGAATTCATCAGAGAATCCATACAGGAGAGAAACCTTACAAATGTAGTGAATGTGATAAATCCTTTAGGAGTGCCTCATCTCTTAGAGCACATCAGAAAATTCATTCAGGAGAAAAGCCTTACAAATGTAGTCAATGTGAGAAATCTTTTAATCAGAAAACCAACCTTAGAAAACATCAAAAAATTCATATGAGAAAAGCCCTGCAACTGTAATGTATATCAAACTGACAAGCACATTTCTAAGAAAGCTAATCTTAGAATACACCAGAGTATTCATACGAAAGAACTCTTTTAAATATTGTTTATGTATAAATCCTCATCTCTGAGAAGACATCAGAGAATACACAGAAGAGTGAAAACATACCAATTTATCAAATGTGAGAAATCATTTATTTACTGTTTGCTCATCTCTTAGAACATATCAGAGAATTTATACAGAAGAAAAACTTTACAAATTGAGTCAATGTGAGAAATCGTTTATCTATAACACCAGCTTTGGAAGACATCAAAGATTCATACAAAGAAGAAGCTTTATAAATGTAAAGTATGGAGAAAAGCCTTTACCTGCCTCTCACATCTAAGTAAACATTCGAACATTCACATTGGGGAGAAAAGTTTTCATAGGAAATAATATGGCATTTGTTTTATCCAAGCTCTATTCTTAGCAACACTCAAGGCTCCACATGACAGAATCATTATGAACTTGAGAAACTTGTGAAATACTTATGTACTCTTCAAATCTTAGAAAACATTAAGAGTTTATGCTGAGGAAATTCTGAAAATGTGACAATGTAGGAACTTTTTCATTAAAGTTTTTACTTGTGCAGCCACAAATCCTTCATAATGAAGACAAAATGGAGATGCCTGAAAAAGGTGATGTTGCTTAACAGGTTCCTGGACACTGAAATGATCCATTCTGAAGGGAAGCTGATTTAGCAAGGAAGTACACCACAATAATAGCTTTAAGAAATCCCAGAAACTGACAGGATTCAGTATCCCAAACTCAAATGGAGAAAGTCAGACAAATCATGCCACTTATAAGAGGATTTTGCAAACTGAGTCACCAAGATAGTATGCTATGCTCTCCCACATGCAGATCTGCAATATTCTTCAGATGTCCAGTATTCTTAAGCTGTATCAATGCAGGTTTCAAGCTTCACAATAGTGACTGTTTGAGTCCCTTGTCCCATATTCCTTTCAGTAACTCCAATAAAGGTCATTGGTTCATCAAATTGGACTCTGTTCTGTTTTCAGTTCCCAAATGGGGTGAGTAGGCAGATACATAAGTTGAATCTCCCTAGCCAAAGTATTTCATAAAACATTTGTTGAACCCATTAATATTTCCTGCAATGCTGTAAATAGAATATTGATATTAAAGCAGCAGTTCTAAACCTGTAGTTTGTGACCCCTGGCTGGGTCAAATTACTTTCACTGGGGTTCCTTAAGACCATAGCAAAATGTATTTCCAATGGTCTTAGCAACTGAGATACTGCTTCTCTATCCATTTACAGGCAGTTCTGCCCACATGCAGATAGACATACATACAAGTACCTGGAACTGTATTAAAGAATTGCAGCATTAAGAAAGTTAGAGTCACTGTATTAGAGCAAAGACTTTTGAGTTAGCTAAGGTAGGGAAGATTGTGCTCAAAGCTCGGGGCTTACTGACATTGTAGTACTTGGTTAATTTAAAAGGGTTCCACACATACAGTATGTAGAGGCTTTGGCAGCCTTAGGCAGAAGGGTGTTCTTTATTGCGTTCAAGCAATTGTGAGAGGTATATAAGGGTACAAGTGAAAATACACCTACAAAAGTGCCGGTGAGAGACATCATAAAACTGAAATGTGTCCCTGCATGGCTCTGAATTCATGCTAATACTCCATGATTCAGCTGTCCTTCAATGAGTCTCAGAACAATGCTACCTGGGGGTAAATGCTATACACTATTGTGATGTCCTCATGTCCTGTTGTACTTTACAATTTCCACTCTACTAGTTCAAACAAATGCATTGAATTTCAGTTCTTTTTGTTAAATCTTTTACACAATGCTAACTTTGTAGATATCCCAGAAAATCCCCAATGAAATAAAACTCAATAAAATGCTTTACTAAAAGATTTATGTTCAGTTGACTTTCATATGTGAGTCCATCCTTACAAATATAAAAATCTGGAGCTTTAAATAAATAAATAAATAAATAAATATATACATAAAAAAAAAAAAATCTGGAGCTTTAAAGAGGGAACCTATAAACCAGACACAGTGTCCAGGTTCATGTCCAGCTGAGAAATCTCAAAGAGTATTCTGGAAGATAGTTTTGAAGTGCTGAAAAAAACATGAATTATTTAGCCCAACTCCAAAACACTATATGAGAACACTGATACTAAAACTAACCAGACTGGGAATTTTAGGCCTTAGAGATGGCAGTGTGTTGCTATGACAAAAAACATACCATTACATGAATTTTTCACAAATTTTAAATACAAGAAGTGAATCATAATTCAACTCATGGGAAATTGTTGTTTGAAGACATTTTGGTGTTCTCACTATTAGAGTTTGCTAAATCATGAAGTCATGATTAGTACAATCTCAAGCAATTTCAGCTCTTGTTTTCAAAAGATCATAGATAGTTTCTCTCAGTTGTTGCTGTATCAGGGATGTTGAACCTCAGGCAGCAGACAGTAGAAAGTTAAGTTTCTCAACTAGCCCTTAACAATTTCAAGATTGCAACCTGCTGGGCAGACACTGGGGATCCACTTTCAGGTTTGATGGATTGAGGCTCCTCTGTTTGATCACCTTGAGATAATTGTGCTAATTCAGCACAGATTTCTTGTTTGTGGTAAAGTTTTAAACTTATGCACAATGAAAAGACATTTGACCTTATACCCCTCACACAATGTTGTTTTCTTCATTCAATAAACATTTATAAACAGTTGTCATCTGTGGTGGCAGCTTGTATGTGGGGAGGCATTATAAAATAGGTCCAGGACAGCCTGACAACTGTAGCTATGTAGAAGTAAGTATTGGCAAAGTGGGACAGATGCCTGTCAGTGGGGCATAGACAAAATCACTTTACCAGAGGAATGATGGAAAATGAAGCAGAAGTTATGTGGGATTGGAAAACTCAACAGGATTTGTGGAAGTTCATGGTAAGAACCAGATTAATGGAGCGTGATAAGTATTCCCTGTGGGACTTCCAGAGGCTACATTTTTAGGAACCCAGTACTGGCATCTTGCAGGGACAGGGAAACTCCTCAGCTGTAGGTCCCCATTTTGATAGCTTGGGGAAGTCATGCTTGAGCTGTGTCCTGGGAGAAACAAGCAGGGTGGAGCTGCAGGGCTGGGAACCAGGCAGATGACTGGACCAGGTGTATTATCAGTTTTTCTGCTGCTGAGCAGGAGGACATGGGCTCTCAAAATTCTGTTGTGGATACTTCTATCCCTGTCAGTAAACATTAGATCACATGAACTGGGGCTTACAGGGATTCTTTGAATTATCTTATAGTTGCCAAGATATTCATAAAAGAGTAATCAGGAAGAGGATTTGCAATATCTTTTGAATGCAAACATGGTTCTCATGCTGTTGTGGCAATTACTAAGATATTGGGATTTAAACTCATAGTTGATGCTTTCTTTGCTGTTGAAACACTTCCTCTTGTATAATATTAGAGGGACCAGCCTTAATATTGTACATCCTAGGGGCTCAGGAGAGAGAACTACGAACAGCAAGGACTGTTTTTGGGAAATAGAATCTCAGCACACCAAGCTCTATAGTCCACTTGCTTTAATTCCTCTGGAGTAGCATCCTATTTACACAGCTTCGGTTCTGGTTTCATGCCTAGCTCCTTTCTTGCCTGATTTTTCTCTATATCTACTGTTCCCTCTAAGTTCTGCCTTAATTCTCTCATCTTAATTCTGCCTCATCTCGGTCCTTTTCATCTTGTTCTTAACCAGCTAGTACTTTCCCATCTGGCTCTTCCTCATCTTCCATCTCATTCCTCTAGTACTCTCTTCTAGCCCTTCGATCTAGTTCTTCCCCATCTCAGTTTGTTCCTCTCCAGTTCTTACCCATTTAGTTCTTCCATTCTCTTTTCTCCTCCTTATTTTCTCAGTCTTCTCTAAGTCTCTCAGGAATCCAATTATAAACCCAAGCAATAGCAATCCTCTGGCTGAGCAAGGTCACCGGGCTTGAATTCTATGGGGTCATAAAGGCAGATAAGAATTTTCCTCAGGCAGTGACCACCAGGTTTTCTTTTACAATCCCAAATGGGAGTGGTAAAAGAGGAGATCAACTGAGTGATAATGACTGGTTAGTATATTTAAAAAAAAAAGGGGGGGGGTCTATGTGCTCAGTCTATATCCCAAGAAGTGGTTAGGTAAGAAGTTATGTGTCTATAAAGTTAGTAAGTCTGTAAGAAAGGAGAGTCCAAGCTAAATTGTGTAAAGCTATTACTTAAGTCCACCTGACCTAGGTGGTGTCTCCTTATAGAATTTGCCTTAAATCAGGAGACTAGCATGTGGTGGTCTGGACTGTTATTTCTGTTAGTCGTTGAAAGTGGCTAAGGGAGATATCTGATTCCAGTGCTGAAAGGGGAGAAACGGATGGGCTGGGGGAAGGAAGCCTTTCCTGAGGCTGTTCTCCAAATACCTTGAATGTATATGTCCAGAGAGTGATCAGTCCGCACTGTTAGCAATTCTTAGGGAAAAATCAATTGGGAAAACTATGAAGGCACACATGATTTTCATAACAGAAGACAGCTGATATATAACAAGCCAAATAACACCAAAAGCTCCTTGGAATTTGGCTTCCTCTGAAGAAATTCCTTGATCCCTTCAGGTAGTGGCTTTGCCATAACCAGCTGAGTTCTTATAATATATTCCTGTGGCCCATAGCAACTTCCCTCTTCAGGTGAGTGACCTTTGCCCCTGGGTATTAGGCATCCATTGTGAGCTGATTAGACATTAGTTTCATTAGGGACTAGTGCAGATTTGTTTGATTAAGAAAGTATACCTTATCAAGTCCCAAAATAATGGTGAAATGTTGCCATTTAGTAAGCAAATCTTCACCCACTGATTGTCCATCTGAGATGTATGCTTTCTGGGATAGAAATACAGCATTCAGAAATATGTCTCCATATGGGAAATTCTTAATTTTACACCTTAGAGTATAGAAAAGAACAGTATGTATTCAGTGAAAGAATATCAGGCCACACTATATTTATTTACAGCTAGAAAATGCCCAATAGATTAGGACAAAATTGGAAAGCACTTTTAAAATAATTCTGATCATTGAAATGTATTAGAAAAATTAATTCTTGGTTTGTTGTATCCATTCTCAAACAAAACACACTTTCCATAAATGAATGGCCCAATTGTCTTGGGGTTGTTCAGTTTTAGCTTTGTTTTGTTGAATAAATGTTTTGGTCTGTTGCCCTGACTGGATCAGATCGTATCATGTATTTCAAGACTAATTACCTGGGATCTGTCTGCCTCTGCCTCCTTAATGCTGGGATTAAAGCAGTGTACTAGCACAGCTTCTCAAACACTCACTATTTTAAACTCAGGATTTGGTGACCTTCACTTCTATGGCTGTGCACTTTTCTCAGAAGGCAGAGCAATGCATATACCCTGCTTGATAGGAACTGAACAGAGATTGAATGTTGGATAATTGAAAGAGCCTACTTTCTGTGGGTGAAAAACATTTTCTTGTATTCTCTACTACTCCCCATGTTTCCAATGAAATCTACTCTGTAAGTCTGTGAGTTTAGTGTGACTGTGTCTAATATCTCATATGGTAAAGGTAGAACCTCACAGGGAAGAAGACAACTGCATGATACTTTGTCTGTTATTCATGTTTGTTCTTTTGCCGGGTGTGTAAGACTTTGTACTGGCTGGTTCTGTGTCAACTAGACACAAGCTAGAATCAGAGAGGAAGGAACCTTAGTTGAGGAAATGCCTCCATGAGATCCAGATGTAAGGAATTTTCTCAATTAGTGATCAATGCAGTGGGGTTCAGTCAATTGTGGGTGGTGCCATCCCTGGGCTTTTGATCCTGGGTTCTATAAGAAAGCAGGCTGAGCAAGCCAGGGCAACTCCCTTCCATGGCCTCTGCATTAGCTGCTGCCTCCAGGATCCTGCCCTGTTTGACTTCCTATCTTGACTATTTTCATTAATGAACAGCAATGTGGAAGTGTAAGCCAAATAAATTTATTCCTTTCCAGTTTGCTTTTTGGTCATGATGTTTTGTTCAACAATAGTACCCTAAGACAAGTTGGTGCCAGGATTGTGGGGTATTGCTGTGACAGGCCTGAACATGTTTTGAGGGTGATTATGGGAGGATTTTGGAATATTGGGCTACAAAAGTCATTGAGTGTTGAAACCTAAGTGGGAAAATCATTAGGAGTTTGGATGTCAAGAATGTTGAGAGCAGTGCAAAAGACAGAGAAATGGCTTTTAAATTCAGAGGAAAATGTAAAGACTCAATCATTTGTTCTTTTGGATTAAGATTCTACCATTCTGGTCAGCTGAGGCTAAATAGTCAACCACAATGAACAAAACACCAGCACCATTGACATGAAATCTTTGTGTTACTAGGACAACTAATTGATGCTGGTTAGTTTGGCTAAGAAATTACTTATGATTAAGAAGAGACAAGTTTATTGAGGTGACATCTTCTGGAAAGTGTTTCCTGAAAGCACAGAGAACCTGTGTTCCAGGGGTGGCCATGGTTATACCTCATGTTGGCAGCAAGATTTAGTAATGAGTAAGAGATATCCAGGTGTTACTGGATTTGAAGGCATGAAGGGGCCTGGGAGTATCTGAGGCTTGGGAGTATGAGACTGTAGGAGAGGCTATTGGTGAAGATGCAGCCTAATAAAGTTGAAGGCCCAATGCTGAGGAGGTCATGCAAAGAAGTTGAGACTTGACACCAATAAGAGAGCCTATTGGTGAAAATGCAGCCCAGTTGTAGCAGAAGACTGCAGCATTTTGGAGATGCCAGTACCATGGGATGACCACCAAAAACAGTACAAGCAGGAGAGTATAGCCAGCCACAGCCTGTAAGACAAGCAGTGTGTGCTACAGAGGGCAGAGCAAGAGGAATGACCCATGCTTTTGAGGGAATCCAGAAGGTCATGAGTGCTTCCCAGACATTGGACAGTTGTTGATGCTTTTGCTGTGATTTGATTGTGACTGTGCCCTGATTTTTCTCTCTTGAAGTAAGAAAATATTTGGTTTATTTTTATTTTACTGGAGCCCACAATTGAGAGACTTTGAATATTAAAAGGCTTTGGATTTTTAAAGGAATTGGCCATTTTCAGGGGACTGGAATTTTAATGTGTTTGAATTTGTAAAAACTGGAACTTTTAAAGTTGTTTATATTTGTAATGTTAGATCGTGGGATATCCTCACTTCCTTCAACAATGAAAAACAATATGGTAAGCCAAGTAAACCCTTTCCTCCCCATCTTGCTTTTTGATCATTGTATTTCCTTAAAGCAATAAAAACCCTAATTAATGCAGTAAACAGGTATGTAATCAATCATTGTTGCCCAAGGAGAACACAGAATATCTCAGCAGCATCAGCGAAAAGCACATAGCAGCCTTGTGACAGATATTCCCAGCATATTATGATGGAAAGAGTTGGGTTCTCTGGGTCAGAAACTTCAATGTCCCATATCTCTTGCCCCACAGCATATTTGGCTCTGCCAAAATGTTCCTGATTTTAGTGGATGAACTTTTTCCTGTTTGTATTCATCGGGCCTCAGAATACACCTCAGATTGATTTACTCCTCACCATTTCTTGAGCATTGCACAGGGAGGTATCCATTTAGGATAGTGGATGCTGACATCACTTAGTATCCCAGTTTACTCCACTATGGTTTTCTTTTCTAATATCTGTTCATTGCAATAAGAATATTCTCTGATGAAGGCTGAGCACAGTACTTTTCTTTGAATGTTTTCAAAGCAGTTTGACATCTGGGCTTTTAGAGAGCCTACAATACTATGTCCCCCCACAGAGACCATGAATGTGTTCTTGGCCTGGTTTCTGAACCTAACATGAGTTCTTTCTCCATAAGGGTGAGGGCGTGTATCCTTTGAATTTACAGGTTGGGGGTCACAATTATCACTTTGGGGCAGGCCTGGACAAGTCCCAGGCTCTCCTTGAGCTACCATTGAGGCTGGCTGACCTAGCACATACTGACTGTGGGGGCTGACTCAGTGGCCTAGGCTCTTTCCTTGACTCATGCACATAGCTCTAAGTTGGTGAGGAATCCCAGACAGTAAACAACTGGCTGAACCTTGAGCAGTCAGAGTACATGCAGAAAGGAAGCTACTGCAAGGACTATGTCTTTTGTTCATGGCCCTCCCAGAAACTGCTTGCTCAAGTGTAGCTAGAGTTTTCCTGCTTGGTCCACAGTCAGGACAAATCTCTCACAGTACCACAGCCATCAGACCCAACCAAGTAAACACAGAGACTTATATTGCTTACAAACTGTATGGCCATGGCAGGCTTCTTGCTAACTGTTCTTACAGCTTAAATTAATCCATTTCTATAAATCTATACCTTGCCACATGGCTCGTGGCTTACCGGCATCTTCACATGCTGTTTCTCATCATGGCGGCTGGCAGTGTCTCTGTGACTCAGCCTTCCACTTCCCAGTTTTTTCTCCTCCTTGTCCCGCCTATACTTCCTGCCTGGCCACTGACCAATCAGTGATTTATTCATTGACCAATCAGCAACACATTTGACATACAGACCATCCCACAGCACTCAAGTCTCAGGAAACAGAAATTGAGGCCTGATCTCTGAGAAAAGACTATGCAGCCTGTTATGGCATCTGCTTGGTCCTTTTATTATGATCTAGGTTTGTTAACATGGGTAGGTATCCTCAGCATAACTTTGAGAGCCAGTGTCCTCCTGCGCAGAAGCACAGCTCCATTCTAGTTCCATTGGCCAGTTTCCCAGCCCCACAGTGCCACTGGGCTGTATCTCTCGCACCCCAGACTTCACTGATGAATCAGGACTCTCCCAGGCTGCTTCACAAGATAATCTGCAGCTGAGAGCAAATTTCACAATCTCTGGGAGATCATGTGTCCTATTTTGGTACCTATTAACAGAGCTAACTGGAGGCTCCATGTGGGATGCTGTATTTTACCAGCCCATCATACCCTGGTTCAGACGACATGACTCCAGCAACCTTGCTCTCACCATGTACATCCACAAATAGTCCTGAATTTTCCAAGCCCACATAGCTTCTACTTAATTTCTCCATGACTCCCCTGATGAAGTGATTGTCTCTGCCCCACTGGTATCCATCAGTGCCACCCTGACCAGATGCCTGCTACACAGCTCCAGCTGTTAGGCTGTCCTGAACCCACTTTACATAGCCTCTTTATGCCTACTGACATCATACACCAGAATTATATTCATAAATGGTTAGAGAATAAAATACTTTTATGTGAATGATATACATTTACAAATTTGCCATGATAATGGATATCTGTGTTTAATGAGGAAAATCATATAGAGGTCATTGCAGAGGGACCTCTATTCAGTAACATCTAATATTGACAACCCAGTTGTCTATCCAGATATTAGTAATCTCCAGATTGTTAATAACCAATCCAGAAATCTAAATTTCCACTGTTTCATGCCTTGGGTTCACCATCTCTGATTCAGCAATAATTGATACATATTGTCATTTGATCATTTCCTAACAAAAGCTCAAGATTGTACTAGCCATTTGAGTTCATGTTTCAACAATCTCTAATACTGAGACCACCTTAATGTTAATACACAATATTTTCCCATCAGTTGACTATGAGTATCCACTTGCACTGAAATGCCTACAATATTTATATAATAATATGATTTCATTCACTGCAACACACTACCTTCTCAAAGCTCTAGAATTTCTTATTCTCACTTTTTATTATCAATATGCAAATATAGTGCTTTGGAGTTGGAATACATACCTCCCCACCTTTTTTTCTATACAACATGATCTTCAAGCACACTCTTGGGGATTTCTAAGCTGTCCATGAGCATGAACACATTCTCTTATTCATAGGTTATCTCTTTAAAGTTTCACAGTTTCTTGATATTTGTAGGGAAGGACTCACTTCTGAAATTATGCTGAAGATAAGTCTTTATTAAAATATTTGCTTGAGTTTTATTTCATGATGAATTTTCTGGTACATCTACAATATTAGTAATGTTTAAAGGATTTAACAGTGAGTTGAAATTCAATCTTTTGGGGGGACTTATAGAGTGGAATTTGTCAGGAAAAATGGGGCACAAAGACATCACAACATGTTCAGTATTTGCCCATGGGAAGTGGTGTTTTGATGTTCATTGTTCCATGACTGAATCTCTAGATCTAAGAATTATTCAAAGGCATGCATAAGCACTTCCCAGTTTGGAATGTCTCTTACCAACAGTTTTGTTTACATATTTTCATCTGTCTCCCTTGCAGACTGCTCTCTCTCTCTCTCTTCCCTGAATGCAAGAAAGAAACCTCTTCTTTGAGGCCCCCTAAGCCTATATATTCTGTCTGTTGAATTCTTTTTAACAGGAATAGGTACTACTATGGTAGTAATCCTTGAAGAGTCAGCAGAAATAATCCTCCCTAATGTTGTCTCAAATACTTTTTTTAATATCAATCTTCTGATGTACATAAAATTTGGAAGAACAACAAATGGAGTCAGCACATGTCACATGAGAGTTGTTTTCTAGGGAGATACAAAATATATATGCATCTACTCACTAAAATGAAAACGGACAACAGAAACAAATATGGATGACACTAAAATCCATCTTGTTTAACAAATGAGCTTTATTGGGATTACATATAGGAATATGGGGAAGGAACTGTTTACAGGGACCAAAGGAACTCAAAGATAATTGCCATCATGAAACTTCAACATGGCATGGGACATAGAATATGGACACTGTGCACCTGGAACATGATGTACACTTGCTGGCATACCCACACATTAAAGGGTGTTCTAGCTTAACTCAGTTGGTTGAAGCCTGGTATAACTAGCATGATTGGTGTGAATTTCTTCATGGGAGTTAAATATAGTGAATCCTGTCAGACTCAGGGACTTCTTGAAGTTATTCTCAAAGATTTATTTACTGTCTTAATCAGTTGCTCATCAGTATGAAATGTTCAGTCTCCAAGAAATAGCTACACATGTTATGGTTAAAGAAACTCCATTATATGCTGGGCATCCATGTTGGTACCCACCAACTGTTGGTTTATGATACCAGACCCCACAAGATAACTTCCTAGTAACCCTAACTCTGTAACTACCACCAAAAAATATACAGCTGTGACTATCAATTTATTCTTATATGACTAAAGCTTTTTCTTACTTAACTTGCTTGTGTGGGAATTCAAAGATTGTTATGAGTTGACTTAACCTCTTAATGTGACATAATGGAACAGTTTTTGCTTGCTTACATAGATATTGAGGGTCTTTGTGTGTTTTTCCTATTTAAATGCCATTCCAAATACCTTTCCTACACAGCAATCTCAAATTTGGCTCAGAGATCATTCACCTTGTTAACAGCAAATCAATAATTTTTTTCGGTTATAGTTGGGTTGAGTCTATGGTCTTTTTCCAAGGATCACAAAGTCCATCACATTTGGAGTTATCTGAAGGCAGAAGTTTCTGTTCCACAAGTAACTCCCAAATACCTGGCAGCCACTTCCAAAACAGAGAGGCTTCTATTAATTATAAATGCTCAGCCAGTAGGTCAGGCTTATTACTAACTAACTCTTACACTTAAATTAACCCATAATTGCTATCTATGCTTATCCTCATGGCTTGGTAGCTTTTCTAAGTATGGCATTCTCATCTTGTTTCCTCTGCATCTGGCTGGCAACTCCTGATGCCTCCCTTCTCCTTCCCATCCCCCTTCATTTGTTAGCCCCACCCATACATATGTCAGTCTAGATTGAAAGATTAGACTTTATCAGAATAGTTACCCTTCCAATAATAACTGTTTCAGCTACTGTTCCACTGAACACTAGAAGCCATCGGTCCACGGCCTATTCAGCTGCCTTTGAAAAAAGGGGCACTATATCTTTTCCAGATTGCAAAGGCCACTTCAGCTATGGTGCCATATTGTCCTAGCCTCAGAGAATGCCTCTTGCTAAAGCCACAACCACACTTGTCTTGGCAAGAGTTGTTAGTCCTTTGTTTCATGTCCTGTCTGTCCATTTTGTCCTGTTTGTCAGCAGACAATTCAAGGACACTTTGTTGTCCAGTGGCTAATTTTTGCCACAATGAAAGTTAACTCCATATGCAGTTTCTTCAATGCCCATATCTTCTCTGAAGTAGATTGGTGCTGCCAAGAGCCGACATGTCTCATAGTCATAAAAAAAGAAAAATTTAAGTTATTAAAACATTTTAAATGCCATATTCTGTAGATCTCTGAAAGGTTTGAAGATGACCTGTCTATCTAAAATATATCTGCTCAACCTTGGAAACAGACCTAGTATGACTACCAGCTTGATTGTAATGTCTAACTACTAACTTTCATTTCTTTATATCCTAATAGTTGGTAATAATAACATTCAAGGATTAGCAAAATGCATTACATTGTTAAATGAACCGTATAAGTACAATATCCTGAACAAGATTAGAAATATATGTATACAATTTTCTAACAATATCAATCTCAATATATATAATTTGTATACAATATATAAAAATCCAATCCAATGTAAAGTATTTAAAACTAGTAATTGTCTTTTAAAAGTAGATTCAATAATCTATCTTTTTATCTAAATCATATCTATATCTTATTTAGTTTTTAGAGTAGATTCAATAATCTACCCTCTATTCAATCATTTCTATATATTTTTTCAAACAAGAACCTTAAATATAAACTCCTTTGCTTAGCCCTTTTCCTAACTATTAACAACAACAACAACTTGTAACCAACCCTCCTAAACAATGAAAATTATTCCAAACCCAAAACCCATTGAAAGACAAAAAACCACCCACCTCACACCACCTCTTTGGGAATGTGGGCGTCGTGTTCTCAAAATTGCTTCCTGCTAGTTGTGGGCAAAGGCATCTTTTTTCTGAATAGAAAAAAATTGGGGGGTTAATAGTCAAATTCTAGGAAAGGTAGCTATATCATTTGTTGTTCAGTCTCTGCATAATGCCAAAGTTCAGGGCTTATCTCAAGTCCTTGTTCAAGTAGTCTGTGAAACTGGATCATCTCAGCTAGACCTCTTAAAATTGCTCTGAGCAGTTTGTAGTCCAAAGCTGATCTGTAGGTAATGTTTGTCAGCTTAGTAGTATTGTTATTGTCCACGTGGAATCATTGTTGTGGGGCCACATCATCTTTCTGGAGACTTCAGATTCGATGTTAGGCCTGGTTGTGATTCCCTGAAGAAAACTGATACAGACTCAAACACAAAAACATTCATAGGCAGCTAATTGAAGCCTTTTTTCTAGAATTAGGTAGTACCCTATATGACCATTAATATCATAACAAAAGTTTAAAATATATATTAATCTTATAAATTTGATATAAAATTCATACTTTAAGCTCTGAGCACCCTTTGGGTTATATCCTGCTGGTAATGGCATCTGATTGTAAAAGGAACAAGTAGGACATTTCCTTACAATCTCCTTGGCTTTTTGCCAGGTTATAGAAAAATCCTTTTTTAAACCTGTACTATTGACATGATTTTTTTTATTAAATTCTGAGGCCCCCAGCACATTTCCTATCAATAATTTATCAGTCTCATCATTACCTTGTGCTAGAGGCCTTGCAGACCCATATGGGATCAGATGTGAGTTATATATAAGGGATGATTCCTATTCCTGATTATATCTTGTAACTGAATAAACAGTGAAGTTAATTCTGACTCATCAGGGATAAATTCTGCAGTCTCAGTATGTCATACCATTCTTTCAGCATACTGAGAGTCAGTAACTATGTTGAGAGCTTCGAAAAATCCATTAATACCAACAGAATAGCATACAATTCCAATTTTTGAACTGAATTATAAGGAATTTAAACCACTTTATGTAAATTTTCTGATTTGTAACCTGCCTTTCCTTGTTTGTTTGCATCTGTATAAAATGTCTGAGCTCCAGATATGGGTGTTTCCTGTACAATATGAAGCAAAATCCAATCAGCTCGCTTTATAAGTTCAATTCTATCATTTTAGGGATATTTGCTGTTAATCTCTCCCAAAAAAATACTGCAAGCTCTTTGTCAAGGTTCATTTACTGCCCATAATTTTACAATGTCCTCCTTAGTTAAAGGCATTGCAATTTCTGCTGGTTCTATTCCTACTATTTGATGAAGTCTCAATTTTTCTTTTAAAATCAAGTCAGAGATCTTTTCCACATAAGTTTTTAATTTTTGCCTCTGTTTATTTTGTAGAAATATCCATTCCAATATAATATCTTCCCTCTGCATTAAAATTCCTGTAGGAGAATATTTAGAGGGTAAAACAACCAAAATGCAATCCAGCTTTGGATCAACATGATCCACATGTCCTTCATGTACTTTCTTTTCTAACAAGGCCAATTCTTTCTCAGCTTCAAGTGATAATTCTCTTGGACTATTTAAGTCCTTGTCATCTTCTATGGTTTTGAGCAAATTACTCAGTTCATCATTTTTTACCACAGTAGTTCATAGATGGGAAATGTCTTCGAATAATCTTTAAAAGTCATTAAAAGTACATAATCATTCTCTCCTAATTTGCACCTTTTGGGGTCTAATTTTTTATAGACCTATTTTATATCCTAAATAATTAATAATTAATAGAATCTCCTCTTTGTATTTTTCAGGAGCAATTTGTAACTCCCAACAAGGCAAAGTTTTCTTTACTTCTTCTTCTTCTTCTTCTTCTTCTTCTTCTTCTTCTTCTTCTTCTTCTTCTTCTTCTTTTTCTTTTGGTTTTTTTGAGACAGGGTTTCTCTATGTAGCTTTGTGCATTTCCTGGAACTCACTGGCCTCGAATTCACAAAGGCATGCACCACCACCGCACAGCGTTGTTTTCTTTACTTCTTCAAACATTCTTTCTAAAGTATCTTCATTTGAGTCAGCTAGTAAAATATCATCTATATCATGATAAATTATAGATTTAAGAAATTAAATTATAGATTAAGAAATTGTTTATGTATTACTTCCAATGGCTGTTGTACAAAATATTGGCATAGGGTTGGGCTATTCATCATTCCCTGTGGGAGAACGCTCTTAACCGGTTGAGAATTATTAAAAGTAGGCACTGTTAAGGCAAATCTTTTTCTTTTTCCTGTAAGCGTATTGGAAAGAAATTTTAAATTGATAACTATAAGAGGCCATCCTTTAGGTAACAGAGTGGGCAAAGGAATCCCAGATTGTAGAGAGTCCATTGGCTGAATTACTTTGTTAATTGCTCTAAGGTCTGTTACCATTCTCCATTTACCAGATTTCTTTTTAATAACAAATACAGGAGAATTCCAATGGCTGGTTTATTCTTCAATATGCTGAGCATTTAACTGCTCTTGTACCAGCTCTTCTAAAACCTGCAGTTTCTCTGTTGTTAAAGGCCATTGCGTAACCCCCACAGGCTTGTCTGGTGACCACTCATTAGAATAATACCTACTAATATTTCTCTCAGAAACATGTGTCAGTTTATGATTTGTTTCTGAGATTGGAGGGATGTTAATCTGAGTATTCCATAGTTGTAATAGATCACAGCCCCATAAATTCATAGCTATGTTAACCACATATGGCTTTAATTTTCCTCTCTATCCTTCTGAACCTATACATTTGAGCCATCTTGCACTCAGTTTCACTTGAGATAATGTTTTGATCCCTACTAGCTGAACATTTACATCCTGAAGAGGCCACGTTGGAAGCCAAAATTCTGGTGCAATTATTGTCTCGCCTGCTCCTGTGTCTTTACTGAACCACCCAACAAAACATCATTTATTCATATTTTTAACTTTGGTCTTCGTTCATTTATAGAAGTTTGCCAAGAAATTTGCTTTATGACTTCTCCTGAATTTTCTATTCTCTCTGTCTCAGCTGTTCTATCACTGAGCAGCTTGTTTCATTCCAACAGGCATTTGATTATTTAATTGCTCTGAGTAGGAGTTTCTTCTATAATGGAAGAAATGGTCTGAACTGGATTTGCTCTTGGGGTTTGCATGAGCCCCTCTGGAAGTTTCCTGAGGACAGAGGCAAAGGATTACCTTGTCTGTCCCTTGTTGATCTACATTCATTGGTTCAGTGTTTACCCTTATCACACCCTCTGCATAATCCAGAATGGAGGGACATTCTGTTGCTGTTCCTGAAATAAACATTCTTTCTAGGAATGACCTATTTACATTCCCTTTTCAAATGACCTTGTTTTCCACACTCAAAATATCTGACATTCCTCAAACCTTTTGAAATTGCTTCTCTTGTCTACATATCATCATGGTCTTGAGACTCAACATTAATTGTGTCCCTGATCCAGTCCTCCAAGGGTTCAGAATAAAGGTTCTTGCCTTTAATGGCCTGATTATTCTTTTGCATGCTGCATTTATGTTCTGAAAAGCCAAAGATTTGATTATTATCGCTCTAGCTTCTGAATTTGGGACCATTCTATTTACTGCTGAAGACGGCCTTTGTAAGAAATCTGTGAAGGATTCTTTCGGGCCCTGTATAACTTTTGTGAATGATTCAATTTTCTTTCCTGCTTCCTCAATTCTGTCCCATGCATTCATGTCTGCCATGTGGCATAGAATTAAGATTTGGTTATCATATAAACATTGTCTTTGTATTTCAGCATATTGGCTTTCTCCAAGAAGCTGATCCTGGGAAAGTTCCACACCTCTAGCTCTCCATTGACTTTCTATGTTCTTAGCCTAATCTCTGTACCACATTTGCCACTGCAGTTGTGCTCTGGGTTCCAGGACATTGGTTACTAATTTTTTCCAGTCTTGAGGAATAATCCTATTACAAGTTGACCAGGAGTTTAATATTTGCTTTACAAATGGAGAATGTATGCCATAAGATACTATAGCCTCCTTAAACCTCCTTAAATCTAACATTTCAACTAGAGTCCAATTATTTTGTACATGTCTTTGATCAGGTAGTTGCTGTATGGTTACTGGATAAATTAAGCTTTATTGTTTGAAAACTGGCTATCTTTTTGTATCCTTATAATCCAATCCTGAAATAATTTCACCCTTAAATTCTTCTGTCTTAGTCTGAATTTCTCTATAATTTCATTTTAAAAGGTTTTTCTAAAGCTCTTATCTTGGTACTTAAATTGACTATCTTTTTAATTGTAAAATAGGGACAAGTAAACAAATAATATGCATAATTAATGTTATATACATCCCATTTACATTAATCCTCTCATGTAATTGTTCTATTTTCAGACTGCCTAATGTTTTATCAAACAAAGACCAATTTTCTTCCATTGTAAAGATATTTCCCTTTTCTTTTAATGTGGGAAAAAATTTTCTCTTTTAAGTAGTTTCTCCCTTTAAGATATCTGATATCCGAATTGACTTACCAAGTCTGCATAGAACAGTAGAAGTCTGAGGGAATTTCAAAATAGCTACCTAGAGGGGGAGAGAGAGAGAGAGAGAGAGAGAGAGAGAGAGAGAGAGAGAGAGAGAGAGAGAGAGGAGAGCCTACTACCTACCAGGAGAAGAGAAACAAGCTAAAACCTAAAGTCCAGCCATGTGCTCCAGCCATGGAGCCAGTTTGGGCCTGAGGCACTTGTAGCACCGGCTTCTGTAAGCCTGAGCCACTTGAGTTGGCTATCTGACTGCCAGTAGCTCTAGCTGCATGTAACTGCTTGTAGTTATGGTCAAGTACAGTTCTGACTGCATGCAGCCAGATCACTTGTAACTCTGGCCGGGTCTGAGGCCTGTAAACTCTGGCCAAGCTGGAGCCTGTAACCCCTAGACTGTAAGGCCACCAATGGTTTTGTTGTTGTTGTTGTTGCTGTTCCACCAATTTTTTTTAATGAATTCTTGCCACGTGGGTGCCTAATGGAGATGAATTTCTAAACAGTCCTATTAAATAAGAGACACAGAGCCAAATACAGAGGTAATAGCCAAAGAAATCAGACAA